ATAATATATAATATATAATATATAATATATAATATATAATATATAATATATAATATATAATATATAATATATAATATATAACATATCCCGAGGGTTTATTATATAATATTCACCCACTCTTTAGCTTTGGCATACTCTTTCTCTGCTATTCTAGTATTTCTAAATTATCTTCTATAGGTGTCATAAGCCCAGTAAGAACTGAGAGTCTTTTCCTGCTTAGGAAACAAACACATGCCAATCTAAATCAGGTCATTACTTCCCAGAGTCCTTGGAGTGTGAATCCGTCCTTTAGCTTCTCTACTGCAAGTCCTAGTTCCTCTGAAAAAACAGGCTCCCGATCGTGTTGCTTTTTTGAATGCATGAGATATGAGAGAAAATAAAATAAAGCAGAAGGTACTTTTTAATTTCATCATCCCATTTTAACAACATAAATTTGACAGTATGAAGAAAGATGTTCTTACCTTGTTTTCATCAGCAAAGTAAGCCTGCAAAAGAAAGCAAAAAAGAACTCGCACCCTTGAAAAAAAAAGAAGCCTAAAAACCGAATCTGCTAATAATTCTTTGTGGTCAAAACTGTATTAAGTCTTCTGCAACAATCAAGTCCTTACAGCTTTTACTTTTGTTTTGTAAACAAGATGACAGTTTATTCTATGTTGAAATAACATACAGAAATGTGCTAACAGGAGTTGGTGATAATGTCATTTTTCATTAAATGCCAATCTTTAAATTTTCCATCATAATAAACAAAGATTTCTAAATGGTAACATTTTCATATTACATTTGTTACAGTGATAAACACTTTATAGGGGAGAAAATGTAAATATGAAGACAAACTGACACCATCCTGGTATTTTCTGCTTCCTGTGCAGCAGCGTTCATTATTCAATTTCAAAAACTAGCTTTAAATTTATATCAAAATCAGTTAACATCATACTCAATCTAAGAAATGAACACAGTACAACTGAATTATTAACCAAATTTTTCTACTAGAAAATATGAGAAAGAGATACCATTTTTCCCATCCTGTGTGTGTGGAAATTAACAATCAAACTGTTCAGGATATCAGATCTCTGAAAATATCCACAGCTCTAGAAATCTCTAGACCAGCAGGTTCTAGATCTTATTTACCAAAAGGAGCCCAATCTTGCTTCAGTTGCCCCTGTGGACTGGTGAGGGGCAGGAAAGAAAGCATTTTCCTGCTCAGCTGGCTCTCAAGCCACACAAGACCCTACAGAACAGCATCAAGTGTAGCCACTCCTTGGGTCCTGGGTGATTTATGTCTCCTACAGCAACCACTTTCTAATAATTTACAGCCTCTAGTTTTTGTTTGAGAATATACAAAACACAATTATTTAATCCAGGTGACAAAGGCACCAGTACAGCAAACAGATCTTCACTTAAAGAAGACGTGTGTCTTCAAATATGTTGAAGACTGAATAAAAATGTGCAAAAATTAAACAAAAGGCAAAAAGTGAGGAAAGAGGGAAAGGAAAAGACAAAGAACTTATCTGCATTAGTAAATGACAGCAAAATTAAAAACAGTGGAACTAAGATTGGTGCTAGCCCTGCTAATTTACCAAATTTCAAAGATTAGTAAGAAAACATGTCAATTGTCAATGTGTCAAGGCTAATACTTGAAAATTTGTGCAGTCTACCTGTACAGTCAATCATGCAGTCAGGTGTTATTGGGTTGCACAGTAACTCTGGAAATTCTTAAATACTGGGACATATAGTAATAAAAAATTATTGCTGCCTTCCTAAAAAACTTTTAAGTTTGAATTTTAGATGAATATCGAGTGTACAGATATCACCATCTATTAATCTGCTCCAAGAGAAGGAAGACTTGTTTTCATATAATGTATCTGATCATATTACACTGCTGATTTTCAAGCTATTCCTGATTTTAATGTGTTGAGAAACTACATAAAACTATTCCTTTAAATATCTACTAGTATTTATTTTGAATAATAGTTTCTTCTAAAGTTAAAAATTCATACAGAGAATAAATTCCTGTAATAATAGGGATATTTAATAAAAGGCATGTACATGTGTTTAAATATAGAAATTACAGTTGCAGCGTATCTTTAACAGAGGATCACAGCTGTACATTGCTTAAATTTGAATAACCAAGCAAGAATTATTTTATTTTTTTGTTTTCTGTGGAGCCACTTACCACAAAAGCATCTGTATGTTCATCAGCTTCTATTTCCACATCATCTTGAACCTGCTCCACTGTTACGTCTTCAAGAGGTTGAGGCTACAAATTAAAACACTGTAGTAAGTAAATCCACATATCTAATATGTTTAATACATTTTTATTACTCTTAAGAAAGTATTGTACCTAATTTTAAATAAATTGAGTACCTTTTCTTCCATTTCATAATCCACTCCAAATATAGGGTTAGCTGAATAAACTTTGTGAAGTGAATTAATCTCTTTCACTGCCTCTTGCAGTTTCTCCACAGGGTCTATTTTAAAACCAAGTACATATCCTCCACTCTATGTAACACAGAAAAAAAGACAACATCTGTTTATTAGTATTGCTTATTATTTAAAGAACTTTTTCTCTTTGATAGTGATTTCCAGTTTAATGATAGCAATTTTCAGCCTGCTGAAAATAATGTATTTTTGTGTGATCTTTTTTTCATTCTGCCACTTGGATCATGGATTAAATAAAAGAAATTACAATATTTCTCTATGAACTAAATTAGCTTTTAACTCTTAGCCCATTATATAAAAGGGGAACAAACTTCTTATACAGAAAAACACAAGCAAATAAGGATGAGACAAATTCAGAAGTGATATTAATGATTTGTTTCTAGCTACTCAGCAGATGGTTAGTCTGTTAGGTCTTGATGTTATTATTAAAGAAGCTTTCAGATACACAGATACAAGGAAAAAATATTTAAAAGAGTGGTCTTAATTAAGTATAGAATTAATTAGATCCCAAAGATAATCTTTCAGAAGGTTGTGTATTTAACAGTTATTAACTAGTCATGCTGGCCTATTACTGTTTTGCTTAGAGAAATCATAACTCACAATAGCCATACTGACCCTAACACACAGGTATTTTAAGCAGTGCGAAGAGAAATTTTTAAAAGTTTTTCAAAAGGCCCCACAGAAGGAACACTCTAAGTACCTTAAAAGTAGTCCCATAACATTTCAGAATTAGAGAAATATTGTATATAAAAATGTCATCAATAAAAAAAGGCTTTTAAAGCTTCTTACCTGCTGAGAACTCTCTATCACAAGTGCCAAGCCAAACTTTGAGTCTCTCATTTTTATTGAACGCTAATGGTAAAGAGGTAAAAAACTTTCTGTTAAAAAATTCTGTAATTACTTGATAAATATCTCTTCTGTTTTGTTTTTGGTTTTTTTTGTTTGTTTGTTTGGTTTTTTGTTTGTTTTTTTTTTTACACTGTACTAGCTACAGTTACTGGTTCTGGAAGCTTGGCTACCAGCATTCCCTCCCATTTACCATTACAAATCTGAACCCCTGAAACCTCAGGGAAAAATGTTTTATCAGAAGTGGTAACAGTAAATTTCTGAAGATCAGATTCACAGATCATTAATCCCAGTGTATGTAGGTGGTATGAAGCACCACAATAAATACTTCAAAAATTTGAAATACAAGCCATTTTCAACATCTGTGCCTGCCCATGAAAGCCCCCAGCTAATCTGGACAGAAAAGAAAATCGACCCTGTGGTTGATGCTGGTAAGACTAAATTACTCCCTAAATGTGGGATATGAAATATTAACTTTGGTGCACAGGGAGTTTTAACTGAAGACTTGAACAGATACCATTTCATTATGAGAATGGTTGTTTTAAGATACTTACAATTTGTAGATACGGTATGCTGACATTAAAGCTGTCATTCATATTTGCATGCCAAACTATTCTCACATTAGTAATAAAAAATGTTCCCAAATTTCCCTATTAAAGAAAAGGTATGTTAGAACTGCTTTTAAGTACAGAGCCTTTTTTTCCAAACATGATGATTACTGCTATCCATTCAAACAAAAGCAAAGTATAACTTCATATTTAATTCAATGAAAGTCTGATTCTTTCCTACCAAAATCTATGGATTGCAAGGAAGCAAGATCCAATCTTTAAAGGATACAGAACCTGAGTAGTGAAAATAGCTGGGAGTACCTACTACTGCAGCAAAGCAGGATCAAATCACAGCACAGCCAACCTCCTGGGAATACATGAAGCATCTGAGAGCATTCTTAACTGTACAGATCTGGAACTGGGGTATAGCGTAAGTACAATGGCACGCGGGTTACACTTGGGTAATTGAGGAGATCTGTGCCAACGGAATGTAGAGGAAAGAACTTTTTAGCTTGTCAGGATGGATCATATTTCCATTCTGGACTAAAACTGCACAGACAGAAATATCAGCTCCTGTTTTGTTTCATGGCTCTGGGAAATACTTGCAACTAATGCCCTGTAAAATAATGTTTCCTATTTTTATCTTAAAGTCTTTATTTTTTCTTGTTTTAAGACAAAGAATCCTATTCCATTATTTTTGATTTCCAATAATCAGAAGACAACATAGTCTTAATACTGTTTAGTCAAAGCTGCATGTAAACATACAAATATCAGCAGAGCACTTTGGAAACATTATTTTCTTTCAGGATCATACACAGCATTAGACTTAAGTTCCTTTTTAACAGGAACTTTATATCTAGTTCAATGCATATTAGCCAAGTCATACAGAATTCAGGTTGCCAAAGAGAGATGCTGTTGTACCGAGTAGCAAATATATGGGATCAGTTTCTCTGCAGGCATCAGCTGATGAACTGAATTAAGGGTAATTCCTTTGGGGGTACAAAACTACAATTGCTACATAAAGCTGAAACATTTTAACTTTTCTGTAGTCAATGCAGCCTGATTTTTCACTGTACCTGGTCACTTGACAAATTCCAAACTCCATTGACTTTATCATATATTTGTTCTTGCGGTAACAATCTCAGTTGCTTGTTTTGAATCAATGCACTTCTCAGCTTCAGATCACGATACATTTTAGAAGTTTCATAAGCTCTGCAAAAAATCAAAAATACACATTACAATTCAGTGTTTTCTATTATCTTTACTCTGTTTCAGCACAGATATGAAATGTTCTATATTTCAAACTTTTCTTATCCCCTCATTGCACACAGGTGAGAGTATTATTAAAACTTAGTCGATATAATCCATTATTTTTCAGCTCTCCTTAATGAAATTAAAGGGGGTTTTAACAACTCTTTTGATCTTCTATATTGTTCATTTCTATACTGTTTCTTCCTTTTCCTTAAAATAGTTTTCCTTAAGATTGTCATCTCCTGGACTCTATTGCAAAGTATATCCTCTGGGTCCCATGCTATGCATAGCACAGACATTAAGAATCCTTTATTTTTCAGTGCTGGTTAAGTCACAAACATCCATCATACATAAGTCAGTATTCCACAGCTCATAAATGGAAACCTATGGTGATGTATTATGCACACATTCATTCAGATGACTTATCTTTAGGTGGGAAGTGTACACTGTTTTGTGGTCAGATCGAGTTCTGACCAGGATTTAACTCTTCATTTCCATTACATGGTCCAAAATTATGGGAAATTATTATAGACAGAAATTGTAGGTAGAAAATGCACACTGAAATTAGCTCCTTTATACTTTTATTTGTTCAGATAGTTTATACACACAAGGTGCATAAACTGTGATCAGTAACTGGTATGAATACACATCAGTTTTCATTATGTACAGTTACCTATTAAAATCTGTGATTGTTCTCTCTCTTCCTTACAGAGATTGTTCTCTTTTGGGAAAGTTTTCTGAATGTTAAATATGGGCAGTTACATACTGTGTCCATCAGCAGCTGTAATGCCTGATATCTGATTCATTGATCAAACACTATTCTAAGTTTGCTACCTGTGTACGGCAATGACTGAAGTGAAGAGTCTGGGACTCCCAGGAACAACATTGGTGAATATGAACTCAAACCGGGTGTTGTTACATTTAGTCAATATATACAGAGCTTCTGTCTGCCCTCGTAATTTCTGTGAGGAAAAAACAAAATTTTACATTTTGTCCATATAGCAGCTCAACTGTACAAGCAATAAATAATCCTCAGATATTTTCTAAATTATTGTTTTAAATAGTGTATATTCAGGTCTAATCCTGATTCTACCATTGATCTACTGATGTCCTCAACAGAACTCAGGTTTTGTTTGAGAAACTAGCAGTTCCACCAATGCTAGGACTAACTAAGTCCTGCTATGCATTTGCAATATCATGACTGAAACAGTATTTTTGGTTTTGTTATCATGTGGCTGCCTAGGGAATCTACATAATCTCCCTGCTGGTCTTTGCAGCAAGCCAAACAAATAGTTTCGCAGGCTGTGTATTTGAGAGCTTTCTTGCACAAAATTAGTGCCACTACAGACCTTTGTTAAATTTAGACAAAATAAGCCAACATATGCTTGACTTATCCAGAGGGAAGAAGAATCACCAAACAGTGTGATTACATGAGTTTTACTCCCTTAGAAAAAACTAAACCACCCTCCTATAGAAAGGTGAAACACTCAACTTTTAAAAGTCAACTTTCATTACTATTCTATTACTGTTAGTGCAAGTAAACTTTCAGATTATTGTTGATATACTGCAGTAAGTATAAATAACTAATTATAGCTTGTTTTATTTTTTTAAAAAGTATTTTTTGAAACTTACTGAGTTGGCAGTTCTTGTAGTTATATTTATAACGCAGTTGTAACCCACAGCTTAGAAGGTAGGGGAGAAAGAAACAATTATTTTGAGAACAAGAAAAATAATAGTCAAAATTACGAAATACAATACTGAATTCTGTAAACAGCTTTGGTTGCTATTTGTGAGAATTACACCTTGTGGTTGATGGTCTGGGCCCTTATTACAAAACTGAAGACTAATGTAAGCTGGAAAGGACCTTGGGAGGTTATCCAGTCAAAAGCAGGACCAACTCTGTCTGGCTGCTTGGGGTACTGTCTAATCAAGTTTTGAATATTTCCAAAGAAAATGATTCCACACTGAGCACTGGAAATAATTTAGGTACAAAGTAGTTGCATCCTGTCCCTGTTTCAGCACATTAAATTAAATACAAGTAGACTCACTAGCTACTCATACAGTTAAAATTCAGAGCTTACAACAGTAAAACTGGAAAGGCTGGTACTTGTGGGGAATAAATAAGAAAATACAGAATGTGAATAAACAGGTGGCAACAAGAGCTACAAGTAAAGCAATATGTGAAGAAACTCAAACTCTTGGTTCTTTCTAGAAAAACAAATTAATCCCACATAGACCAAATGAAAAATACGTCTGAATTACTCTTCAACTTCTGTTCTGAGAAATTAACATTGAATATTACTATTTTGCAATGAATTATTATCTCAGTTCCTATGTTATAAATAAATTAATTAGTAACAGTTTATTTCAGACTTTAGAGAGCAACAGAGTGCTTCACTTTTTTACTTTACTATTCTGTACTGGAATCAATATTTTGTGAAGGAATAGCATGCCACCACAAAGGAAACCAGAGATGATACTCACAGAGATTGACTCTGGGCAAGGACAAGGAGCGCCATATGATCCGCAAATTTGTCACAAGCAGTTTACCTGGAGATATAGAGTGGAGACATTTTAAAATCTGAATAACTTCTATTAAATTAAATGTTCTGTTCTGTGACATATATTTACCTCTAGCTTTGAAACACCAGGATACTCTTTTCCCTTGATAGGAAAAAGAAGAAAAGCACAGAACAACCCACCAGAAAAATCACTAAACGCCTTTTTTTTTTTAAATGCTAGGAGAGAAAATCCATCAAGGAACAAATGAAACAACCTGTAATATATACCAATATTCCTCAAAACTAACCCAAGAACACTTACTGATTTCAATTTACATGCTCATAGTAAAAATGCAGACACACTCAGTGCAGAATTGCTCTGGGGGAGAGGAGGGGAAGGCAGTGAGTTAACTATCACAGCTGCCTTCAGGAATAACCTCACCCCTTTATATCATATGCAAATTTACTCCATTCTGTACCCTGTGGAGCAGCACATCCAACCTAGGAAGGGTCATCTCAGCACACTGGTAGCTTTGTGCCCTTGCCCACTACATATTCCTTACTGATTCAGTTTAACCCAGGGAGGGGAAAATTAAGCCTTAAAGAGGATTACAGCAGAAGATCACCACACTGTTTATAAATGGATTATTCTTACAAGGCTTTCAATTCTAAGCAAATTCCGAGACAAGACTATCATCTTCCTATAACTCTGAACAAGAAATCCTATCTGAAAACACTCCAAGACAGATCTGTGAAATAAGCAGGATCTATTCTATGCAACAGAGCATTGATACTGAGTTCAGTGGAAAGCTGACAGGTTTCCATGAACCTGCACATGTTAAAAAGTAGAAAGTTTACAATTTCCCTGAGTTTGGAGTTACCTCTGTCTCCATTGTTTCCTTTGGTATCTTCAACAGACTCTAAGCAGTCTATAAGGACCTCTCCAGGTCTCATTTTCATTTGTCTAAAAGAGAAAAAAGAAATTACCTGATGAAAAATAACCCTCCAAAAATAAGGCTATTTCTATTTCCCTACTTCACTTTCTCCGTTTTCTGCTCAGTGCATGACGCAATGAAAAATCCAGTCATGCACATATACACACAAATCAACTTTATATACTTGCAATGATCATTACATCTCACAGACGAAAAACAGTAATACCTCTACTATTAAATTATAACAGTACATAAATAATTACATAGCAAGTGTGACCAAGCAAAATACGCCCTAAAATAGCGAGAAAGTGTGTGGAAATGAGAAAGCAAAAAAAAACCAACTTGCACTGACAGAACTTTTAGAGGATAGAGCTTGTTACCTCCTGATGTACTTTTCGGTCATAAGAAGTGGAACTAGACTCATGAAATAATAGATGACAGCAAAAGAAAGATATATAAGGACACATGAAACGCTCAGAATTTTCCACAGAGGACGAGGTTTGATTTTTTTGTGGTTTTTTTTTTTGTTTGTTTTGTTTGTGGGATTTTTTTGTTTGTTGTTTATATTATTATTATTTTGCTTTATTTAACTGGTCTAACCATTTAATTAAATAACAACAGATGTAGTGTAAATTTCTTCTGTATTTTTATCGCATTGTGAAAAACAGCCAAAAACTCTTCAGTTTGACTGCAGGGCAGAAACGAAATGTATTATTAGAAGGGGAATTTCGTGAGATACTGCAGAGCCAGCGCCCCATTCCCTGAGTTCGGGATGCCAACGCCACGGCAGGGACACCGAGTCCTGGTAACCAGCGAGCGCCACTGTTCCCTCAGACACATTCACTCCGTTCTAGCCCTCTTCCCAGTGCCAGAAAAGCTCGGCTGGGAAAAGCACACCGTTTCCTCAGTCCAAACTTTTGGTTTGTTTGTTTTCTTCGTACACACTGGAAACGGTGACCAGTTCCCACCTCCCCAAACTCCCCGGCCGCCCGCTCCGAACACCCGCCCCCCCTCGCCCCCCCCGCGCCGCCACACGGAGGCATTCCCGGCATCCACCGCGCCCCTGATGGCGGCCGGCCTCAACGCGCGGAGACCCGTCGATGACCGGCCCCGGGCGGGCCCGAGAGCACCGCTGCGGGCAGGAAGGGGCCGGGATGGGCCAGGCCGGGCCGGGATGGGCCAGGCCGGGCCGGGCCACTTACTGCGGGGAGATGTCGAAGCGGACATCCCTGTCCTCCCACAGCACGTCCAGCACCCCGCTCATGGCCGCCGCGCGCCCCGCCGAGCCACGCGCTGCCCCGGCAACGGAGCGGGAAGGGGTGTGGAGTGTTTGTGTCTCGCGCCCCCGCGGCGGCCGGGATTGGCTGCGGCGCCGCACGTGGGTAGCGCGCGCGCGCCCTTCCGCCCCCTTCGGCCTCGCCCCCAGCCCTGCTGAGGCGCTAAAACCTAAACCGTGTGAAATCCTCGCGTTGTCGGCAAAGTACAGCCTGTGGGGTGTGAGTTTGGTGGTTTTGGTTTAATTTTAAAACAGATGGGATGCGTCATTTTTAATTTGGAGTGACTTGAAAATCATATGTAGCCAATTTTAATTGCAGTACCCTACCACTTTAAAATAAACAAATTACTCGAAATAAGTAGGAATCGTAGGAAGAAACTCGTCCTTTTGACAGTTCTTTCCCTGGAGCTGGTCCCTGGGTTGGTGAGGAGTCCATTGCACCCATCTGGAAGTTGACACAAACTGGATGAAGTAAAGTGAGTAAAGGTGGGAAGTGCTTGTGCCCCTGGCGGGACATGGACCAAGGGCTCTGGAAGCAGAAAGGATGGAGAGTGTTTGGCTTGAGGCCAAGCTCCATTTTTGTTGATATGTTTGATGTTACCATTTGCTCAGTGAAAAAGAGAAAAACACAAACCCAACCAAAAGTGATCATCGAGTTTCATACACAGGAATGCCTAATCTGGGGTGTTGGGGCTTGTTAGGGGCTGTGGTAGAAATCCATTGTCAGAAGCACATGAGGAGGTAAGTGCAGTGTAATTTAGCTAGGTTAAGTTTTTAGTCCTGTAAAGATACCATTATCCATTTTCTCTCCTGGCACTAAAACAAGAAATGCTTTATTAGAAACAAGCTTTCAAGTATGTTAAGTAATAGGAAATGCAACATATACACGCAGATGTAAATGTAAAAAACAATATCACAGTGGCAGCCAATAAACTATGCTGCGTTTAATGTTCTCAACAAAAGTTTAAATAGTTAATTAAGGAAGATGAAAATATTAAAATGCATTTAAAAATTAGGGTTGGCTTTCAGAAGAGGAACACATAACAAGCACCACTTTAGACATGAACTAACCCAAGTTAGCGAGGCCAGATATTGGTATATTCACTCATAGGAATCTGTGGATGTCATGGATCTTGGCTAGCTAATGAAAACTGAGGAGAGTTTACTGAAAAAAGGATTAAAGTAACTGTGATATGGTTAGGAAACGTGTGTAATTTAGCCACCTCCCTGTCTTGTGACCCAGAGAGCACACAGGCGATAAGTTGATGGATTTGCTGTATTTGTCTGTACTGAGTAGTACTCTGCATGTAATTTGGAAATATGCTTGATATCTTAAAATATTTGTGAGAATGGTTTTGCTTAAAAGAAGTGAAGTCTTCATTGCACAATTCTTGGCAAATATCAGGTTTCTGTAACAGAGAGAAAAGAAATGACATAATTTTAATGACCAACGATTGCTTCCAAAGCCATATATGTAATTTAAAGTGAAGTATAGTTAATGATTATACAACGTTAGTATTTAAAGACCTAGGTGAAGGAAGGGCAATTGCTATGGCAAATGCTATACTGGTCTTAATATAAATTAGTAAAAAAGAATTTTTGTACTCTTGATACTGCTGAAAATTTGCTATTTTGTTACATAAGCACTACATCATATACTATATGCAAAAAGAATTAAAGTATGCTTGCATAGGTAGACTTTTTTTTTAGTTAGTGCACATATGACTTCACAAAGTTACCATTCTATAAATTAGTTGGTTTGATTTTACGTACCAGGCTGGATAATTAATAACAAAGTCAAACAATCAATAGTTTCAACCTGCTCACTTTTAATGTAGAGATGAATTCCTACCTCCAGAAGAAAATACACAAGCCTTTCTACATTGCTCTTCACTCTCAAAGCGGTTTGCATTTCCATCGCAGCCACCGTACCAAAACTGAGCACAGGCATTGGCTTGTTTATCATAATACCATTTTATCATATAAACACGGCATGGCCCTTGATCCAACCTTAACTTGCATCGGAGGTCCAGGATACTTTCTAAAATAAAGGAAAAAGAGGAATAGAAACAATTCAGTTTGTAGCAGTCAATTGTATTGCATAGATTTTACCTTCTAAACTCTGATTTTGTTTTTTTTTTTCCTGGTAATGTTATACAAGAGTTTAAGATTCACTCTTAGTTGTAAAGATGTTAGTATTGAAGGCAAGTTAAAAGTGCATCTTAGTAGGTCAATTAAACTATTCCTTTACTGGCATGGTTCTAGTAATTCCAGAAATAATAGTATTATGGCTCTACATACCAAAAGAGCAAAGAATACGAATACGATAATTTTGAAATCTATTTTTTGAAATCTAATTAAGTGTAACCAGTCTTGTGAGCAACCTGAAATTGTAAGCCTAAGAGCTGTAAGGTAGTTGCATATGCTGTTTTCAAATCATAAGCATGACCATCGTCCTTCTGCTGCATGTTAGTTCTTTTTGTGGTTGGAAGAAGAGACAATAAAACAGTGAGAAGAATATAAAACTTTAGTCTTGCTTTCGTAAGATATTTGTGTTACTTATCTAATACAATGGTAGTACTTATGTACATACGTTTGAATGTAAAGCCTGTTGGTCTAGTGACTCCTACAGATATGCATAAGAGGACTGTGACATACTAATCTAGTCTCACTCTAATAATACCATTAGATAGAAAGCAATTTTCTGTTAAGTTTAATGTTGTGACACCAATATTTTGTCTTTCTCAACTCGTATCTTGTCACTTTTTTGGGCGGGAAAAAAAAAAGTTATTGCCAGGGACCAGATAAACCATGCCAGTGTTCCCAGGAAGCTCTTTTCTGTTGCTCCCATCATAATAAACTATTACTGGAACTCAAAATCCCCCAAATGATGAACAAAATACATTTGGACATTTCATGTCCAAAAAATCAATGAGAAGAATCAATCCTTTGAGCAGTCAGCTAATTATCATACTTTTCTTCAAATGACTAAACACAGTTTTTTCCTTTTTCTCCTCTCCTCTGAAAGAGAAAGCTATTTTTTCTGTCCAATTCTGAAATCATTATCTTTAATGAAGCCTCCTATCTCCATAGACTGCCCCTTCTTGGCTGACATATTACCTGCTCACTGGCCCACCTCAGTGAGCATTATGTTCTCTTTTTGATGCCATTTATGAGCTCCTCTCAGACAACCTTGCTTTTGCCATAAGTGGAGCAGTGGGATTTGGAACTTGGGAAGACGAGAACAGCAACTAGATCTGTTATAAAATCCTGAAATGGATTCTCTTCCACATCACGGACTCACAACATCTTCAGAGAGTAGAACAAAATTACTCTGATTTAAAGCCTTATTAAAAGTTAGTATCAGGATAAGAGGGAACAAAATGAAAAACTAGTTATGATCTATAACCTGGTCTTGGTGTGAGTCCTGCAGTTGAAAGAGGTGATGTCATCACTTTATTGGATGGTGATTGTTTAGATGGCAATAATGGTACCACAGCTGCAGCTGAAAAGAAACAGAATGAGACTTTGATTTTTGATCAGCCATAAAAGAAGATGAAGAAATGAATGATGATAAAAATACCTCTAGTGTCTGCTGTTAGGAAGGGTAACTGTTTCTCCTCTCGTTCCTCTTCATAGGCTTCATATACTACCACAGGAGGTAATTTGGTCTGAAATAAGCAGTTGATTTTCTTTGTTTTCCAGATACTGTGAAGTGTTTAAAAATTAACGAGCCCTCCATGACTCAGAGATTTTCTAATGTTATTCCTTTCCATTTTAACACTTCAGTGTTAAAAACCAGAATTTTAAATTCACCTGGTTGGTTTACCAGGAAAGATGTCATACCTAAATATGATATATATATATTTTTTTAGTTGACCTTTACAGAGTTTTATTTATAAACTTAAAATGATAATCTACAATTGAGTTCAATTCTTAGACTTAATTACACAAAAACAGTGTAATTGCTTTTTAATAATGTAGTTTCACACTGTGGCACAAATATTCCTGCATTAAACAAAGGAATGATAATTCTTGTAACAGTATCAGGAATAAACTATAGCAATTATAAATTATATATTATATTATAAATTATAGCCTGCATGCAACATCAGAACTCTTACTCAGAACCACCAGCTCTGAGCATACCAAGTTAAAGGAGCTATTACAGTACCTGTCTGGCAGAAAAGTAAGGTGAAGGTTACATACTACATCAGGCAGCACAGAGGGATATATATTTTAAACTTCTGCTCATTGAAGTCTGCTGAATTTTCATACCGGAGGTAATGGATGAGGAAGATCACCAAGACTGAGAGGACTTTCTACTGTAGATACTCCAGGTGTCTGTGCTGAAAGTGGTTGTCTATTAACATGGTGGTTCTGAAGTGTGTAATATAAAGAACTTGGAGATACTGAATGGAAATATGAACCACTTATACTTGCACCATTTCCATTACGGTTGTATATTAAGGTACCATGTTCATCTTCACAAAATTGGTTTACTAATTTGGACTCCAGAGCTGTTTAAAAAAAAGGAAGTAAAAAACATCATACTGAGAAATTCAATGAATTTTTAAAATATGGACTATTTATACACATCAGTAATACACATGTAATCCAGTACTCCTTTGGATTGTTTATATGTCTCTAAGAAGATTGTTTCAGACTCTCTGCACTATAACTTTTTTTGGTCACAAATTTGCCAGCATGTAAGTCCTCTACATGGTACAAAATACAATGAACTTATTTAAAGGTGTTCGTCCAAGGATAGTAACAACTACTAGTTGGTTATGGGAAAATAACTTCTTACCTTGCTGATGTGAACAACCAAATGAAAAAGGGAAGTGAACAAGCAGAATTTATGACAGTGGGTTTCATTCTGACTTACAGTCCAGCAGATGTGCAATGCATGAGCACTTATTCAGCCTAGAAAACCAGTTTAAGCAGTTGTTTTCCTAGACTGGGTGACATCCCCCTGTTGGCGTGTTGAATCATTGCCCTATAATGTGATTCCTTAAAAGAAGTGAATCTCTAGGT